TCTAATAAATCTATACAATTCTTAGAAGGAAACGTTGGTAAAAATCTACATGACTTTGGGTTAAACAGCGATTTTTTTAGATATGACAAAAGCACAAAACATAGATAATTTGTACTTCATCAAAATTCAAAACTCTTATGCATCAAAGAACACTATCAAGAAAGTGAAAAGACAGCCCGTAGAATGGGAGAGAATGTTTGCAGATCCTATCTGATAAGGGTCTAGGATCCAGAATATATAAAGAACTCTTACAATTCAACAATAAAAAGACAATATAAAATGGGCAAAGGGAAAAAAAAAGTGGGCAAAGGAGTTGAATAGGCATCTCTCCTAAAAAGATATGCAAATGACCAATAAGTACATGAAGAGATGCTCAACATCATAGTCATTAGGGAAATGCAAATTAAAACCACAATAAGATACCAGTTCACACTATAGGTTGGCTATAGTAAAAAAAAAAAAAAAAAAAAAAAAAAAAAAGTGTGGGTGCTCATGCAGAGAAATTGGAACCCTTATCCACTGCTGGTAGGAATTTTTTAAATGCTGTAGCCATTGTGGTAAATAGTTTGGCAGTTCTTCAAAAAGTTAAACATGGGGCGCCCGGGTGGCGCAGTCGGTTAAGCGTCCGACTTCAGCCAGGTCACGATCTCGCGGTCTGTGAGTTCGAGCCCCGCGTCAGGCTCTGGGCTAATGGCTCAGAGCCTGGAGCCTGTTTCCGATTCTGTGTCTCCCTCTCTCTCTGCCCCTCCCCCGTTCATGCTCTGTCTCTCTCTGTCCCAGAAATAAATAAATGTTGAAAAAAAAAAAAAAGTTAAACAGAATGACCCAGCAATGCTACTCCTAAGTATATAACCAAGTGAGTTGAAAATACATGTTTTTATATAAACTTGTTATGTGGATGTTCATAGCATTATTCATAATAGCCAAAAAGTGGAAATAACCCAATATCCATCTGCTGATGAATAAACAAATGTTCATACAATGGAATATAATCCAGTCATGTGCTGCAGCGTAGATGATCTTGAAAACATTATGCTAAATGAAAGAAGCCAGTCACACAAAGATGACAGATTGTATGATTTTATCTATATGAAATGTCCAGAATAGGCAAAACCACAGAGACAGTAAATTAGTGGTTATCAGAGGGTGAAGCGGGGGGGAGGTGGGGGGGGGGGGGGGGGGATTGGGAGTAACTAATAGGCCTAGGGTTTCTTTTATGGAGTTTGGTGGAAATGTTCTGGAATTAGTGGTGATGATTGCACAGCATGGTGAATATACTAAAAAACACTGAAGTGTATGTTTTACATGATGAATTGTATGTTCTAGGAGATTGTCTTCGTCTATTTGTGTTGCTATAATAAAATGCCTGAGACTGAGTAACTTATAAACAACAGGAATTTATTTGTCAGAGTTGTGGAGGCTGGAAGTCTAAGATCGGGGTGCCAGCACGGTTGAGGTTACAGTGGAACGTTGTGATCCTTGAAAGTGATGAAATGGAACTATATTACTTGTTTGAATTAAATTGGAGGTACCTGTAGGATACAAATATGCAATCTTCAGGTTATTTACCTTAAAATTAGAATCATTTCTCTTAATGTGGTATTCAGAATGAACCATATTAAAAAAATCATTTAGAGAGAAGTTATTTTCTTCTGAGAAACAAAGTGGTAACTAGAGTGAGGCAAATACAGTTGACCTTCGAAGACCATGGGGGTTAGGGGCGTTGACTCCCCGTGCAGTTGAAATTCCACTTATAATTTTTGACTCCCCCAAATCTTTTTTTTTTTAATTTTTTTTTCAACGTTTATTTATTTTTGGGACAGAGAGAGACAGAGCATGAACGGGGGAGGGGCAGAGAGAGAGGGAGACACAGAATCGGAAACAGGCTCCAGGCTCTGAGCCATCAGCCCAGAGCCCGACGTGGGGCTCGAACGCACGGACCGCGAGATCGTGACCTGGCTGAAGTCGGACGCTTAACTGACTGCGCCACCCAGGCGCCCCATGACTCCCCCAAATCTTAATTACTAATAGCGTGTTGACAAGAAGTCTTATTGATGAACAGTTTAATACCACATTTTGTACGCCATATGTATTATAGATTGTATTCTTAACGATGAATTAACCTAGAGAAAGAATTAAAAAAAATTTTTTTAATGTTTGTTTATTTTTGAGGGGGGGGAGGAGCAGAGAGAAAGGGAGACAGAATCTGAAGCAAGCTCCAGGCTCCAAGCTGTCAGCACAGAGCCCAACACGGGGCTCAAACCCACGAACTGCAAGATCATGACCTGAGCCACAGTTGGATGCCTAACTTCCTGAGCCACCCAGGCACCCCAAGATAGAGAAAAAAATGTTAGGAAAATCATAAGGGGGCACCTGGCTGGCTCAGTTGATAGAGCATGCGACTCTTGATCTCAGGGTTATGAGTTTGAACCCCATGTTGGGCATAAAGTTTAATTAATTACAAACTCATATATATATATATACACACACATATACGTATATATACATATATATACATATGTATATGTATATATATGTATATATACGTATATGTGTATATATGTGTGTGTATATATACACATACATGAATCAAAAGGAAAATACATTTATAATGCTGTAATGTATTTATTAAAAAAAAAAGCTGCATAGAAGTGGAGTTCAAATCCATGTAGTTCAAGGAATCAATTATAAAATTAAAAAATTTCCCTCCCTTTTTCTTGCTGTATTTTACGTGCCAGTTGTAGTTTAGATTGAATTTGTGAATGACCCATTGGGATTTTGCTTATAACTACATCACATTTATAGGTTAATTTGGAGGTCATGATATCCTTACAATATTGAGTCATTGCAGACGATAACAGCATTTATTTGGATATTCTCTTATGTATTTCCATTGGTTTTCTTCATGAAGATCTTATGTATTTTTGCTAAACTTTTTTCTAGTACTTTAAGCATTTTTTTGTTTCTGTTATAATTGGAACCTGTTGTCGACTTCCTATTTATAGCAGTTTTTGATTTTATGTATTTATCTGCTTGGATAGGCGTTAATTTTCTTCAACTTTCTAGATACATTTCTCCAAAATTTTTTAAATTCAACAAATGTTTATTGAGTCCCTGTCATGTGCTAGATAATTGTTTCAGGTACTTCTCTAAATTTTTAGGTAATTTATTTTAAGGCATTGCTGAACTTTCCCAAATTATTGCAGCCTTGGACAGGAAATTATTTACTCACAGTGCTAAGGAGTCAGTTAAATGGCTATGATTTAGTGCTCATTTTGATGCTGTCATTGTTTAACCTGTCCAATATAAATAAATCTTTAACTCTTTATGTATTTATCAAATGGTTCTGAGTTTCAGACCACATTTTATAGCATCTTACTGAGTTTGCCAAAAGTACTTTTTCTTTACAAAAATCTTTGTCATACTGTTATCAGAGGAAATTAGCTTAAACAACATGATTTAATTATGAAGGAAAAAAAAACCACACACAAATGATGAGACAATGTCTTGTATGTTATGAATAATGACAGTGCTTTTTATTAGGCATGCCCTTGGACTTATTTTCCTAATGTGCATGGTCCTAACTGTAGAGAAGCAGACAGAGGTCTAAAGGGAAATGCAATCAATTAACTTTAAAACAAAATTTTAATTTGATTAGTAAAATGATATCTATATTTTAAAATTGGAAAATGTGGAAAAGATGGAAAGAAATGAAATCACCTGTAGTTTCATTATCCATTCGCAATTGTTTTTTATATGTTGATGCGTTTTCAGTCAGTTGACTTGCTACAGTTAAAAAAAAAATCAAGCTGCAGGGGTGCCTGGGTGGCTCAGTCGGTTAAGCGTCCTATTCTTGGTTTTGGCTCAGGTCATGATGTTACGGTTCAGGGATTGGAGCCCTACATCGGGCTCTGAGCTGGCAGCACAGAGTCTGCTTGGGATTCTGTCTCTCAGCCCTGCCTGCACTTGTGCTGTCTCTGTCTTTCTCAAATAAGTAAAAAGAAATTAAAAAATCAAAGTGTAAGGTAAAACATATTTTTTCATATTCCTGTGATATAAAACCCTCTATATTATGAGGCTTTTGATGGTTATATGATATTTAATTAAGTGGGTATATTGTAGTTTGGGTAGCCTTTACTTAGAAATCGTATTTTTACATTGCTTCTAATTCATTACTGTTTTTTTTTTTTTTAAGTTTGTTTATTTATTTTGAAAGGTAGCATGAGCTGGGGAGGGCCAGAGAGAGAGGGAGACACAGAATCCCAAGCAGGCTCCACACTGAGCCATCGCATGAGATCATGTCCTGAGCCGAAATCAAGTGTCACTTAACTGACTGAGCCATCCAGCTTCCCCTAATTCATCACTGTTAAAATAATGCTGTGGAGAACAATTTTGTACATAAAAACTTTCTATATTTAAAATATCCCTACAACAAGGGTTATTTATTGTAAAAACAGTTTAGAATTGGGGAAAGTGAAAGTGTTCCCCTTATTCTTTCCAGTTTCTACTCAGTAGTAACTACTGTTAACAATTTAGTGTGTATTTTATTTTTTTAAAAAAGCTTACCCTACATACTGTTTTAAAAAAATTTAGCACTATATTGTGGACATTTTTCCCTTGTCAGTCCACACAGAAGTACCTTGACATTGCTGCATCCTTGAGATTCCTTTAACCACACTCCTACTTCTGGCATTTATTTGGAGTTAGGTGTCTGTGATTTTTTTTTTTCTATTTCTGAATATCTCTAGGATAGTTATAATAATAGCTAAGATTCAGTAAGTGTTTACTCCATGCAGTAGATGAGGATTATCTCATTTGATTCTCATTGTTATATTTATGTGGGTGGGTGCACAGTTCCTATTTGGTCACTTTTCCATCCCAGCCCATAGGGAAGGTGGAACTTTAGTTCAAACTTCCTTGCCTCTTAAGGGAAGAATCATTACAGGGGAAAAACATCCTTATTCTTCTGAGGAGGAAGAATTCCCCACCTGATGGCCGGTATGGGACATTTGTGCCAGAAGGAGGTGTGGGTTTTATCCTTCCTCTTTCACTTCCTATGCCCAGGACTAGCAGGCCAGTACGAGCAGCACCCTTGGACTGGCCTTTTAAAGGTAGATTTGACCATTCTCTTAGTTCTCTATAATCCCTACATCTGGGTTGAGGACTGGCTGGGGAGTCTGTTCTGCAGACCCAAGTATCTTTTCCTACCAGATAGCAGTATGGACATCTCAAGGTCTGGGTCTTTGTTATATGGATTTAGGGGCCCCATTTTGACTTTCTATCGAAAGTCATTTATCCAGTCTTTGCAATAGGAATTATTAGAGATTGTCCAGCCATTAAAAAATCAGAACATAATTTCTGAACTTTATTGAGGTATAACCTGTATACAGTAAAACACAATCAAGATAGAAAATACTTCTGTCATCTCAAAAAATTACTTCATGCTGCTTTGGTGTCCCTTTCACTCAGGCAACCACTAATTGATTTAAAAAATTTTTTTTAAGTTTATTTCTTTATTTTGAGAGAGAGAATGCAAACGGGCAGGGGCGGAGAGGGAGAGGGAGAGAGAAAATCCCAAGCAGGCTCCTCACTGATGCAGGGCTTGATCTCACAAAGTGGTAAGATCATGACCTGAGCCGAAATCAAGAGTCGGACGCTTAACTGACTGAGCCACCCAGGAGCCCCTGATGGATCTTTTGTTGTTGTTGTTACTATGGATTAATTTTGCCTTTTCTAGAATTTCATCCAAATATGAGATGAATTTTACATAATGTAGGGATTGAACCTTATTTTGTGCCCATTTTATCTAGACTATTTGTTTTGAAGCTTAATTGCTGTTGTTGCATATGTACCTGTAGTTAGTTTCTTTTTAATTGCTAGGTAGTATTCCATTATATGGATATATCACAGGTTTTTTTATCCATTCATGTGTTGGTAGGCATTTGTGTTATTTCCAATTTTTGGCTATTGTGAATAAAGCTGTGAATATCTGTGTATAAGTGTAGCTATGTTTTCTTTTTTCTTGACTAAAATCTAGGCACATACCTGCTGGGTCCCATTAATTTTATAAGAAACTGTATTATGTCTTTGCCAGTATTTAATGTTGTCAGCCTTTTACCTTTTTCTTTGGTGTTTCCCAAAAAGACCAAAATGGGGAACTCTGCTTTTCAGCAGGGGCGATGTTGTGAGGTTCCCATTTATGTGGAATAATGGTCCGAAATGGATAAGGTAAAGTATCCCCACAGGCTCTTGAGAGATAACTACAGGACATACTAGTTTAATTGATTCCTACCCCATCACTTTCAGGCCCATGTGACTTCAAAATTTTAACTGAAATTATTATTGGTAGGAGTTTGATATACCTGAGTGAACTTATTAGGCCTGAAGACAGGTATTACTGATGGCCTTTTCTCACTTAGACCAGGCACTGTCCAATGAAACTCTTCAGAAAGATAGCTATGAGCCACATATGGCACTTGAAATGTGGTTAATGCAACTGAAGAACTGAATTTAAAAAAAAAAATTTTTTTTTTTAATATTTATTTATTATTTTGAGAGTGAGAGAGACAGAGTGCAAGTGGGGAAGGGGCAGAGAGCAAGGGGAGATACAGAACTGCCAGGCCCAGGTTCAGCTGGCTGCTACAGAGCCTGACATGGGGCTGGAACCCACACACTGCGAAGAGACTGAGTCGGACGCCCAACCGACTGAGCCACTCAGGCGCCCCAAGAACTGAATTTTGAACTTTAATTAATTTTAATTTTGATAGCCATATTTGCCTAGTGGTGCTTTTTGGACAGTGCAGTTCTTAAAATGTTATTTTTCAGCAAAGGTCACTGACAAAAAATAATTGAGTAAGACTTGTCAGCTGAGCCCACTGGCTAAGTTCATATTTTCTGTCCTACTTCCCTTTCCCGTGGGGGGATTCGTGTGTCTCTAGAGAGATGTAGCCAAGGCCTCGAGTACCACAAAGGAAGAACCAGTGGATTCAGGAGTGTTGCAGGTAGTTAGGGTAGGGGTGGTTATTTGGTAAGGAGCTCTTCTAGTTAGGTACTATGCTCTGTGTTTTTTTATGTTTATCTTACCCTCCTAAATTCTTCGGAAGACAATAAAGCCTATATTTGAGTAATCTAATTTTTAAAGTGGACCTTTGGACCAAAGTATGCTGTTTAAATTTGAAAACTGTATAATGTTGCAGAGAGGAGTCCTGATTAAATCCTCCCAGTTTTTTTTGATTAAGAGAAGTAAATTCTCTTTCTACACTTTAAAGGCTTTCAAGTAATGATATAATTACTTCTAAGGTTTCCATTAAGGATTTGAGATTTTTATTCTTTTGAGTAGCAGAGTTAATAATTTTTTTACATTTCAATTATTAGTGAAAGCATTTTACAGCCTTTAGATGGTTAAATGTAGTCACTCAGATAACTGAATCTATATAAAATTGCCTATCCGTGTAGTATTTTTCATTTCATAAGAGCTGCGCAGCTGTAGTGGCTGAGTTTTTATTTGTTTCCTAGAGGCAAGGTCAATGTTAGAAAAATTGTGGAATTTTCCCTTGGCATTACTGTGGTAAGTAAACAACTACTATTTATAGGAATTTATATTTTGATGAAAAATGAGGTACCCTGCTTGGCTTATCATAAAAACACAGATGCTTCTAGATTCCAGTAGGGAGGCCTTTTGCTCACAGCATCTGTTGTAGTTGGCCAGCCAGATGACTTCCACTGAGTTTTTCACTTTTTTTTTTCAAGGACACCACCTCTTTGACAGCTAAATACATTTACAAATGAAAAGGTTAACTTAACGTTTTGTAAATTTATTATTACTGTGGCTATATCAGTTCTGTGCAATTTTGAGCTATTAGATAATTTAAATTAGATCACTTCCTAAATAACCTTGAAATATCCTTTGAATACATGTCCTTTGAACTGTTTATTCTGCAGTTAGGTAGATTTGTATTGATCTATAAGTTCATTTATTCAGCAGGTGTTTGATGAGCACTCTACCAAGCCCTGTGCTAGCTCTGGGGAACCACAGATGTAAGCAGGATATAATCTGAGTCCTTGAGAAGCTTCCTGTCTTGTATGCAATGCAAACATGTAAACAGACCATGGAAATACAGTCAGATACTTTCATTTGAAGTTTATTATATCAGTCTAATGGGGAAGGGAAGGTGTCTAGGAAGGTCTTCTAGAAAAAGTAATTCTGAGCTGAGAATTGTTGAAACAAACAGGAGTTTAGTTAGGCAAGAGGCTCGGCATTAGGGGAGAGAGAAGAATATAAAAGGAAGAAGCTTATAGGTGAGGGAGACCCTAGGATGGGTGGGAAACTAAAAAAGTTTGGTACGCTTTTGTCAGATATCTGGTCACACTGACTATGGGCAAAAATACAGTCTCATTCATAAAGCAAAGTTATGACCCAGGCTTTATTCTCTCATGTTCTAAATATTAATGATTTCCAAATATTTTATGAATCCCATAAGAAAAACATCTTTGGTCATGTATCTGCAATATATTTACATATTTATTTATAAATGATATACTCAGAGTTTATATACATGGTAAAGTATATACAAAAAGATAAAAAGGAGGAACTAAAGGTGAAAAATATTCTTCATTTTATTAAAAAATACAGAAAACCAATTGCTGCTTCATTGTTCTTTAAAATCTTGGCTTGATATCTTATGATACACCTATTCAGAGGTCTGTTTCTAACTGCAGTTGAATTTGATACGTGAATTATCTGTAGATCCTTCTGGTGCACGTAGCCCGCTTTAGGGACCACTGCTCTAAACGATTGGGATAAGTGTATTGAAACTAGCCTTTTAGTTAAAACAGGAGCAAAGCAAAAGGTAGTTTATTTTGCCCTATACATTTTTATTTGAGAGACAAATTTAAGAAGAATCAGCTTTGGCTTGAGGTGTGAAGAATGAGCACTTGAGTCATAAACTATGTGTCATGACTAAAAGGGTCATATTTCACTAACTAGGAAATCCAAGAGAATGGCGGAAGAGTTATTGGTTAAGTACATTGTGTGAAGGAATGTTTTGCTAGTAGCTGTTAATCAAAAATATTACTTGCTGTTTTGAAAAAATATGCCTTTCAGTTACCTTTGTTGGGAGATATTTAGAAGATGGTTTTTCTTAATCCATAGGAGATGTGGTCCATGCCACTTGAGATCTCTTATAAAAAGATACTCTTTTGGGGCGCCTGGGTGGCTCAGTCGGCTAAGCGTCCAACTTCGGCTCAGGTCATGATCTCGCGGTTCGTGACTTCAAGCCCCGCGTCGGGCTCTGTGCTGACAGCTCAGAGCCTGGAGCCTGTTTCAGATTCTGTGTCTCCCTCTCTCTCTCTGACCCTCCCCTGTTCATGCTCTGTCTCTCTCTGTCTCAAAAATAAATAAATGTTAAAAAAATTAAAAAAAAAAAGATACTCTTTCATTATACACTTGATTAAACGTACTGAATTTACTTAATTGCATTTGAATCACTCAAAATTCTTTTCATCAGAAGAGTTGGAAAACCAAATCAAAAGAGCTTGAGTAAAAAAAAAAGTATTTGTTGGTACATAACCAACATAACCAATGCAGTACTGGTCTCAAGGGCTTTAACTTGGTTGTCAGATCTGTGTTTCAAAGTGTCTATTTGTTTCTTTGTCTCTGTTATCTTTGCTTTCTCTGTAATAGTTTTACTGTCTTTTAGAGCAGAAATTTGACCACCATGCAGTGGTGAGGCAGGGGAGAGTGTCCTTCTGGCACATGTCTATAAATCCTATGAATAGGGGCGCCTGGGTGGCGCAGTCGGTTAAGCGTCCGACTTCAGCCAGGTCACGATCTCGCGGTCTGTGGGTTCGAGCTCCGCGTCAGGCTCTGGGCTGATGGCTCAGAGCCTGGAGCCTGTTTCCCATTCTGTGTCTCCCTCTCTCTCTGCCCCTCCCCCGTTCATGCTCTGTCTCTCTCTATCCCAAAAATAAATAAACGTTGAAAAAAAAAAAAAATTAAAAAAAAAAAAAATCCTATGAATGGGATAGGACTCTATGTGATTGCACGTGTGCTGTGATTGGCAGGCCCACAAAAGCCTATATGGAAGGGGGAAGGAACAGTTTCCCAAAGGAAGGGTTTGCTGTGATCACAGAGGAAGGAATGCAGGGAGTCAATAACAATAGGTATTTACTAAAGGTGATGAGGAATAGAGGACAGGAGGCATAAATTATTCTTTAAGGTTATAAAAGATGACTTAATTTTCTTTTCCTAATCATTGCTTTTTGTAGAGTATGCAAGCTGCAAGATGTCCTACAGATGAATTATCTTTAACCAACTGTGCAGTTGTGAATGAAAAGGATTTCCAGCCTGGCCAGTGAGTATCTAACTTTGTTTTTTTCCAACCTGCCAAGTGGTATTTTGGAAACTTTTAGAGAGCACTTGTGTTTTAGGAAACTCAAAAATAATTTTTTTATTCCTCTTGCTAATTTGGAAAATGGAAAAGATGAGAGTTATGCATTTTAGTCTTTTTTTTTTTTTAACATTTATTCATTTCTTTTTTTGAGAGAGAGTGCACACGTGAGCGAGCAGGGGAGGGGCAAAAAGAGAGACACACACACTCTGAGCTGTCAGCACAGAGCCCTATGCGGGGCTCAAACTTGCAAACTGTGAGATCATGACCTGAGCTGAAGTCGGCTGCTTAAACAACTGAGCCACCCAGGCACCCCTGTATTTTAGTCTTTACTGTGTTAAACTTTGATTAATATGTTTTTTAAAATCATACATAGCTTTTTATATGTAGCTTTTATTTTTATTAACTTGGTTAGCAGAACTAAACATACTAGTTGTATGAATCATATATAGCATAGTCTTTAGGTTTTTGGCTCTGCAGTCAGGTTGTCTGAGTTTGGATGCTCTGCCAGTTGCAAACTGGGTGACCCTGGATAACTTATTTATCATTTCTGGGCCTCTGTGTCCTAATCTGTGAAATGGAGATGATGATAGTATCTTCCTCAGGGTAGTTGTGAAGATTGACTTATATAGATAAAGCATTTAGAATAGTGCTTAGCACATTAATAAACCTCCATAACTGTTAGCTCTTTTGCTAATTATTACTGTGATGATCTAAGAAATGAACATTGGAAGATGCACAACAAAGTATTTTTAAGTATTTTTTATAAGTATTTTTTTGTTGTCATTTATTTTAACTAATTCGCATCATCCACTGCCAGAACTTCTAAAAACTCTGCTACCAAGTTCAGTGCCATCCATATGCTGCTGAGGCTGATAGAGGTATGGAGATAAAGGATGCCTACCAGAAGGCAGACTGGGGAAATAAGGAACAAGAAGGCAGGATTTTAACTGAGCCCTTTTTTTTAAAGCTATCTATAAAATACATGAGTTTTACAAAGTTAGAATTGCCAGTTATCTGTAGTTTTCAGTTTCAGAGTAAGGGGCTGAATGATTGCAGTAATATTGTTTCTTGCCCTAAAAATTCTATGATGCTAAGTTGAGCACAGAACTTTCTCTGTATAAACTGGGGTATAGATAATCAGTGTGAGAATTTGTTTATAGACTTTTCTTACATATGTCAAATGTTCGCTGTACTCATGATGGAGCTTACTTGAAATACAGCACATATAAAGAACTTGTGTTCTAGTGTATAGAAACACTAACCATTAATATTTAGAAAGTCATAGCATTCTAAAAGATGATTTTTGAAAAGATAGTGCTGTTGCAAAATAGAGTTTAAAGGTTTTATTACACACAGTCCTTGGCAATTTCTCTGCGTAGGAGGTTATCATGAGATGACTATATTTTATCTGTTCATGGGTAACTCCTGAGCAGAGTGAATTAGCAAAAGATGCTTTGAAATAATAAATATTGATATCTATATGAAAGCTGATGTATTTTGTGACAATTCCTTGTTTTTACCATCTTTTTAATTTTATAGGTTGTTACTGTTTCAACTGTTATGAGAGCCTACAGAGATTTAATGATTAGTCCTAAAACTAACTCTTTCTGGATTGTTGTATCCTGGTTCTTCTATCTTTGGTTCTCCTCCTTTTATTCTATTTGATGTGAAATAGAGGCACCTGGGTGGCTCAGTTGGGTAAATGTCTGGCTCTTGGTTTTGGCTCAGGTCATGATCTCGTGGTTGGTGGGTTCGAGCCCCATGTCTGGCTCTGTGCTGACAGTATGGAGCCTGCTTGGGATTCTCTCGCTCTCTGCCCCTTCCCTCTCTCAAAATAAATAAACCTAAAAAAAAAAAAAAAAAGATGGGAAATAATTCTCAGGAGAGGAATTTCTTCTAATTTTTACTTAAAATCAAAGATTCTAAATCATTATCTTCAGTTTTATGTAAATTGGAAATGATATTTTGGATGGTATGTATGCTCTTGAACTTGGTCCCGATTGTGCTTGATGTGTGCTTGTACCAAGGTACCCCTTCTGCCTGGAAAAAATTTTGAATTGCTGACAGTTTTTAGAAATGAAATTTGTGGTTCTCTTCCTTCGGGACTCTCAAACACTCTGCCATGTTTCCACCTGGTACTCATGAAGCATCAGTTGTTGGAAACGAACACATACATAGGAGTTAATGTTTCTATTTCCTTTGACATGGAATATTAACTATGTTTCCGTCTTTTAGGCATGTGATTGTGAGGACTTCTCCCAACCACAGGTATACATTTACACTGAGGACCCACCCATCAGTGGTTCCAGGGAGCATCGCATTCAGCTTACCTCAGGTAACCCAGATGCTAGTTTATTCTCTTCTATTCTGAAAAGTCCTAGAAGAATCAATTCGTTTCAAGCAAGCATTTTCCTATAACTGTATTGATTCATATTGAAGAAAAACATCTAGGTGTTTATATAAGGAATTTAAAGATGCATTCTTAATTGCCCATTTCTACTATACCTTCCTTTTATTGCCTTGATTTTTTTTTTCCTAATTTAAAAAAATTCTGTGCCAATACCAGGTAGCTATCAGATTAAGTCGCAGGTTGTTTCAGTGTTAACTTGCAGGGTAAGAAAATATATTAAAATAACATTTACTGGGGCGCTCGGGTGGCTCAGTCGGTTAAACGTCCAACTTCGGCTCAGGTCATGATCTTGCGGTTTGTGAGTTCGAGCTCCGTGTTGGGCTCTGTGCTGACCGCTCAGAGCCTGGAGCCTGCTTCCAATTCTGTGTCTCCCTCTCACTCTGCCCCTCCCCTGTTCACGCTCTGTCTCTCAATAATAAATAAGCATTAACAAAAAATTTAAGAAAATAAATAACATTTACTTGTACAATTGACATCTGATGGTAGTGATTTTATTTTTTTTTTTTAATTTTTTTTTCAACGTTTATTTA